TAAATATATTTATATATATTGTTTTATTTCAATAATATAATAAAATAAAAATTGCAATTTTATTTAATATATTATAATATACTATAAATATAAATTTCAGTAAATACCGATATCAATCAGTACAATATTGAAATTTTTAGTTCAGTATTTTTACATAAAAATTAGTATCAAAACTGATCAGAACCCTATGCAACGCTATGCTAGTGGCATATCTTGAGGATTAGTAATAATAGTAATTGAAATACTGAGGTTAGTCTCTATAATAATATTTCATAATAACTTGCTCCCTGCAATAATGGACTAGCAGGTTGTAGGTAGATTTAAACTAATAGTAGAATTCACCCTCTGCAAAAGTCCTGCCTGACATGTGGACACATCCCCAAGATGTTTAAATAAATGTATAGTTGGGTAATAGTGATTAGTATAGCTAGTCTTATAGTAATATGCATTAGGCAGTGTTAATTTGCAGATTAACTATAGAAATATAAAAGGATATCCTGTATCAACCAATTTCCAGTTAATTTGTAGAGACACTTGATAGCTGTCTGAATATATAAATGTATCAATAAATATTACGCACTGTGCGTACGTTCCACTATAAAAAAAAAATAATAATAATTTAACAGATAAAATTATTTTTATTTTTACAATTGTATTCTTATTTTGAATAGATATTAACCATTCAATATTATTGATATAAGCCTGTTTATTCAAAGCAAACTGGCATTAATAAAAAAGTTGCAATAGATTAGGATTAACTTACATATTATATAAAAATCTTTAATATAATAATAATAAACTCTTATTTAATAAAGTCTTATATTTAAAAAAAAATAATAATAAATAAATAAAATAAATAAAGATATTTAAAATAAATTGAAATTATTTTAAATAAAAAGTTTTTGTTATAAAAACAAAAAGATTAATTATATTATTCTATAAAAATAAAGATTTATTGAATTTTTGTTTTATTTTAATTTCAATAGATAGTAAAATTATTAGTTATATTGTATCTTAATTAAATCAAATTTTATACAAGAGAAATAATTGTTTAATTTGAAATAAAAAAAAAAATATTACGAATTTATAATATCATGTGAAAGTTTAATTTTGTTAAATATTGAATATGAATTTGTAATTACTGTCAAGATAAGAAACATAGTTAATGATATTTATTATTTGAATGATTGATTCTTTTGCTATAAAGCAACTAAATACTTTAATAAAAAATTGTATCTGGGATAAAGTGAATCAAAATATTATTTAAGATGAAATTGATGAAGAAATTTTAGTAAATTGAAGTTTCAATAAATTTGAAAAGATTCAAGCTACAAAGATAATCTAGTTTGTATGATTCTTTCAAGATTTGAAGATTTGAAGATTTTTTACATGATTAAAATAAAACATCAAATTTTATAACTTTCTTGTTTACATATAAATAATCAAATCTAAAAAAATTTTTGCAGCACCACTACTGTACATATGCATTATGATATAATGTGATATGATTAATCATTAAACGAACGTATCAGCACATACATTTTTTTATCTAAGCATCTCATTGTATGTGACCGTTAATCCAATTCACGGAATTTTTTTCGTAATCAAAATTGCTACTTTTGGAAAACTCCAAGTTTTGTACTAACCCGAAATATGACGTCTACCGACATAGTTAAATAAAATATATCATTTTCACACTTTTCAATATACTGGTTGGTGGTTCCTTTGAAAAAACACGAATAAATTTTATGCAAAAAGTATACAAGTTAAATAGTATGATATTTTATATAATAACTATCAGCTGTCCCTGACAAACACAACAGCTACTCGATAACCTCTGTCCTGTATTAGTACAGCAACTAGACATTCATCACAAACTAGAGATTGTTATGCATCTTGATTACAAGAAAGTGAAAAAAAAGAAAAATAATAAGGGTATACGGGGAAATGAATCTACTTACAGAAAAATAAAATCCGAAGAAAAAAAAAATAGAAAAAAATGGAACAAGGTCACATCACTTTTCCTGGCATCACTTCTCTTTATCAGATAGAAATTTTAAAAAAGAAATGCTAGAAATATAGTTACAGTAAACGAGTTCAGAAGGAAAGTAATGAAAAAAAAAAAATAGTAATGACATGAGAAAACAAAATCTTGTGTACAACTAAATAAAAAATGCACACCGCTTGCAGTTCTAAACAAACGAAAAAAAAAAAAAAATAATCCATTTTGTCGACCGTGATAAGGAATTTACAAATGATGCTATAAAGTAAACGTCTATCTATCATAGCCTAAAATTGACGTGAAAATGTTGGAATTATTATGGAATCATAAATTCAGGACTTTACAATTAGTAACAGGCACTTACTCGCTAGATGTGTAGTATCCATGGTAGAAATTTCAAAATATTAAATAGATAAGTAAAAATAAGTTTTTGAAAAAGAGTAATGATATATCAGTCAGAAATCAATTAATACGCACGTAAAAATGAATAAATTGTTAGTGGCGGCCACAGCAATCGAATTTTCATTTGGATGCCATGAAGCGTGAAGAATCTTCTTATTGAAATCAATGGCTTCCAAGTTAATTTCTTCCTTTTTGATATTCTTCGCACGTGAGATCAACTTGCTCTTTGATGCGCCGATGCGTTTTGCCTTAAACGCACTTTTATCGGCCTGCAGCGAAATATCAGTTAAACCTTCTCGGTCATAAATATGGAAGTAGTTATTGTATGATCCAGTTAAGACATTTCTGTTGAATTAAATAAATTAAATAAATGCGATTTGATTAAAAGGGCATCTCGGTAAAACCAATGACAGTGATTGTTTCATCAAGAATGTAATCATGAAACTTACTGGCCATCTCCGCTGAATGTACACTCGAACTTGTCAAAGATACAATCATTTTCGTAAAGATCGCAAAGTTTGTTTCTCAAATGATCGTGAATGTTGATTGTCTTTAGAGGCCTATTTTCCATGGTTATATCCCAAATCTTAAGAGTTAAATAATCACGCGAGAGAATGTACCGCCCATCTTTACTGAATTTAACGTCAGAAATAGATGAAATAATTTCTGAAAAAAATGACTTATTTGCAGGATCTTCCTGTTCTTCAAACACTTGAAGTAAAAAAAGAAAAAAAACCATTTTACTTGATAAAATAATCATGATTTCTCCTACAAAACGAATCATTCTAGTAAATTGACTCACACTTCGCATGCCGATCACATAAAGCCGCCGCTCTCATATCACTCAATTTTATAGTTCCTTTACTACTACTGTACATAAAGAGATTACAATGAACAGGATGGAACTCAGCGGCAGTGATGACCTCGGTGAGTTCTTCCATATTTACCGGCTTGATGTCAACGATGTCTAGCGAAAGGAAGAAAATGTAAGGAAATTTCTAGATAACAAAGAATAATAAATAACCATCCACCAACGGAATCACAAAGGATACTAAAGCTTTGATCGCTGATGTTTAAATTCCAAAGGTTGATTCTTAGATCGTCCGCAGATATATAAGTTTCACCGTCAGAATTAATGGATATGGAATTAATATGATAGGCGTGAGCATTAGCATATACTTTGCGAGGAACAGCTGCAATAATCGTGTCATGATGTGTGAGTTTTGGTAGTCTCAGCTGTTGGATCTTTCCGTTTTGAGGTCGTAAACCATCGTTCAAGTTATTTTCGGCAACCACCTTCAAGGATTTCTCGAAAACTTTCCAGAGTTTAATGGTTTTATCTGCGTGAAAAAAATTGACCTTTGGTTAGTGATCGATTCGGTGAGCGATGTGATGGTGGGGCAAGCTAACACAATTACCATTCGTGGACAATAAAAAATGCGCAGCATTCTGTCGTCTGCACCATTTGATCTTGTTTATCTTTTCTTCTATTTCCAAACTCTTCAAATAATCGAATTCGGGTTCGTGCGATTGAAACTCGGTGTAAAATTTGTACTCGCAACCTTTTTTCTGTGTTCAAAATGGTATCAAATGTGTAAGAAAAAAAAAAAAAAAAAAACAAAAAGATAAAAAAATTTTTTTTTTTCTTCGAACGAATCAAAATAAGATAACTTACTCCGTCATTACGTTCAAATAACACAACTCGTCCACCTTTGTCTCCAGTAGCAAGGTAATCGCCAGTGTGGTCAAACTCCACGGTCGAGATAATGTCAGCTGCATAGTGGAAATATAGTTGTCAGACCTACAGAATCTTTGTTGCAAAATAAGAAAACTGACATCAAGAGATTCACGATCTGGTTCTCGGAGGCTATTTGCTCTTTAATATTAATACTCAATCTAAACAACTTCTCAAGCAACAGTCGAAACACATAAACTCCTTTTGCAAGTACAATCATTCGATCGGTGGCTTAGACTAGTAGGACCTTGAACACTGTAAACTAATCCCCGAATGATGGCAGAAAACATTACACTAATTATTTACGAGCAAAACACAAAGCCTCGAAAACTCATCCGCAGGTCTCTTGAAACCCGCCTGAAAAAAACCCTCATCACAAGACCAACAATTCAAGATCCAGTCAGTGATTTAAAAACCAGGGAGGTCAAAAAGGACAACTACCTTCTGTAATGTCCTCGACCTCGCCCTTGTCACCGAAGCACTGAGCAAATTTCCAACCATTGTCCGATTCTGCCATTTTTGTAATACGTATGACCCGTTAAAAGGAGAGGAAGCGGTTTGGAAGGAAGGAAAAAAAAAAAAAAATCAAACAAAAGACGGCTGTTGGAGGAACGTGCACGACCAAGTATGTGTCAGGCGTTAAGATAGATAGATGTTTACTGACGGATGGATGGAGGTCGTCAACAGTCAACACAGCGTCGTGTGCGTATCTTGAATATCGTTGAATTAGAAAATGTTTTGTGCAGACTTGTGCGCTATTGCGCATCGCTAAAAGTCACACGATGACACGAAAGAACATGATGTCACTACCTACAGAAATAATCAAATATTATATAATTCTTACATGATACCACCACCAATACACACCAACCTATGAACGCGCTCGGTTGCCCCTAAAATCAGTTATTGTGTGCATTTCTTTTTCATATCAAATCTGTATTACATCTCAGATTTTTGGGGTAACATAATTTAGAAAATTGAAAGAATCACATCTTTGATTCTCGGACTCTCTGTGTACATACGTATGCGAGTGGAAGAAACCGCCAAATACTATATATAGGACAGAGGTTAGTGATACAAGTGCATACATCCAAGCGTAGGAAGTTATCGTTTTCCGTCAATCAATCGGACAATCAGGAGAATTCGATTATTTCCGCGCTCTTATTGATGATGATAAATAAGTACCTAACGTAGATACATACGCTGAAAAAACCAGATCACAACGCGATTAACCGATATATGTAATTGCGACCTGTTGTATCATGCACCCACCCATAAACAATTGCCGAGAGTTGAGACTGCGATCATACGTTATCATTATTTTTTTTATAAGCAAAAAACGTCAGTCGTGTGATTTCGCAATTCGCGTGTTGAGCGCCGAAAAAAAAAATCTCTCCCCCCCCAACATCCCCATTTAATTATCACAATGGCACAACGGTAAACAGTTAAAAAAAAATTTTTAGGTGTGGCACATAACGTAAGTATGTACGTTTATATGTCGGAGTGTTCCATAAATTTCAATGGTCAATCAAAACTTGCTTTTTTAAATTACATCTGTGGGCTGAATTTTCCATCATGGTAAAATTAAACTCTCCTCGAGAATTTGAGCCCATTTTCTCATAATTAATCTATCTTTGGTCTGTAGCTCGAGTTCAAACCATCTCTCAAAGAGGTTCAGGACCTCGTGGCCAAAAACGAGGGTAACACAATTCCCATTTATGCCAAAATTCGTGCTGACTTGCTCACCCCCGTGGGTGCATATCTGCGAATAGCGGAGAAAAGTCAGCATTCTTTCCTTCTCGAGTCTGTGACCGGTGGTGAAAAAATCGGTCGATATTCATTCCTCGGTGCAGGTGACCGTCAAATGGATAAATTATTCACATGACATGCATCGGATACATTAACCTTTTCCATTTAGACCCATATAAAGTGCTTCGAACCGGGGACCATGAGGCTGTCAAAGGAGATCCTTTATTGGTTCTCGAGAAAGAATTAGGTTCCATCAAGTTCGTTTCCGTTCCTGGAATTCCAAAATTCACCGGTAACCTCCCCTCCATTCGAAAAAATGTCGATTATTCGATAACCTAACCTGCTCGGTCATAATCTTTTGTTTAGGCGGAGCCATAGGGTATATTTCGTATGATTGCGTGCGATACTTTGAGCCACGGACTGCACGCGATTTACAGGATCCTATCGGCCTTCCGGATTCGGTCTTCCTATTTTGCGATACATTAATCGTCTTCGATCATCTCTACCAGATTTTGAACATTATTTCTCATTATCGATCTGAATCGTCGGATCCAAATGAAGTGGAAAGTCATTACAATCAAGCAACAGAAAAAATAAGGCATATTTTTGATTTATTACAAAAAGAATTTGTTCTGGAACCGCCTCAGGGTGAAATTCGCCTCAATCAGGCTTCCGTGTCGAATGTGGGCAAGCCAGGATATGAAGGATTTGTGACAACGATAAAACAACACATAAAGAAAGGTGACATCATTCAGGCCGTCCCTTCGCAGAGATTATCACGGTCGACTAGCCTACACCCCTTCAACATTTATCGAAGTTTGCGAACACTAAATCCATCCCCGTACCACTTTTACATCGACCTGAAGGATCATCAGATAATCGGCGCATCTCCTGAACTCCTGGTAAAAGTTGAAGATGAAATAGTTTATACTCATCCAATAGCGGGTACACGCAAACGTGGTAAAACTCAAGAAGGTTAGGTGATTTGCCCTGATGTTACAATCGTACACTGTATTATTATTGTTCGGCAATTCACACTTCTTTTTTTTTTCAGAGGACGAAAGACTTGCCGACGAATTGCTAAATGACGAAAAAGAAAGAGCCGAACATATTATGCTTGTTGACCTTGGGCGAAATGATGTCAATCGCGTTTGTCAACCCAAGACCGTCAAAGTTGATTCGCTGATGAAAATTGAAAGATATAGTCACGTAATGCATATTGTGAGTCAAGTTTCCGGCAAACTTCGTCCGGATAAAACAAGGTCTTTCACATCGATTTCTGATTCCAAAATTCTTGTTCTGAAACATTTCACCTGTGAAAATTCATGCTTTACGGATTTGCATCTTTATAATAGATTTGACGCGTTTAGATCCATCTTTCCTGCGGGAACCGTTTCAGGCGCACCCAAGGTAAGAGCCATGGAGATTATTGCCGAGCTGGAGAAAGAAAGGCGTGGTGTCTATGCTGGTGCCGTGGGTCATTTTGATTTTTCGAATTCTATGGATACCTGCATCGCAATACGCACGATGTTGTTCAAAGATGGCGTTGCTTATCTTCAAGCAGGTTTGTTCCTCGTAACTTGGTAGTTTCCGATTCTAGTAGACACTTCAACTACTTTACAATTGACGACAATTTTCATTATCTTTAGGAGGCGGAATTGTATATGACAGTGTCGAAGAAGATGAATATCAAGAATCCATAAACAAGCTCAAATCAAGTGTGATTTGTATCGATCAAGCCGAAGATTATTATCTAAAATTGCAAAATAATCAGAATGTATAATTGGAATGCAGTTTTTTCTTGATTTTAATGAATAAACATAATACCTATCAAATGCTCGGATTGACAATGTATAATTTTCACGTATTGTGCAAGCTTGTTGCAATTCCAGGAGAGGGCAAACCATCCTCACGTGATAATGTGACATTTGCGAGAATCATACTTCCAATCAAAAATTAACACAATGTATTCATTATATGACACCTGTAAAATGAGTTATACCTGATACTTTACTTTTATTTTATTCCTTTTTTTTTTTTTCACCCACATTCTCAATACTGATTCGGTTACTGCTGGTGAAAACTCTCAGAGTGAAGTTAAATGGATAAGCAACAGCGTCCTCCGCTATCTAAGAAGTCACGCTTAAGTAGAGAAGAATCGGACAAGGCCAGTAAAGTAGTATTTGATGAAATATTTGGTTCTGTCTACGAGGAAAAACCAAAGGCAGTTAGCAAGACCGAGCGAAAACTGGTCACTACAGAAAGTCGACTTCGTAAAACAGAGTCAAAAACAGTAGTAAGTCGACTCCCCAAAGAACCGCACGAGATGGGTAAACCCCTGAAGAAAGACGAGGTCAGAAGAACTAATGACAAACATAACGCATCACATCAAGAGACAGACAACGAAAGGAGGCGAGCTACCATGACTGCACAAGCTTCTAAAAAGACTTTAGACCCATCTCACAAGAGAATTAGTCTTCCGCTGGTAAAAGATGATAAGAGTCTAGTCGATCATGACAAAAAAGCTCTACGAAAAGCTGAAGGTGAAAAACTTTCATATAAGGTGAGTGATAGAAAGTATTACCAAACAAATGCGCCAAAACGAGATGATCTTACCAAGAACAATCAACCTATCGAACTATTACAGAATTTGTTCATAACGAAGAAAAAAGAAGTTTCTGGTAAGAAATTTAATTATCTCATTTAGTTATAGACCATCATTAAAAATTTGAGATTAAATGAATTGAAAATTTTTTTTTATAAAAGATAACACATTGAACTCTGGAAAATCCCTCAAGTCACTTGAAAGCAAGGATGGCGTGAAGATTACTTCCGTTAAAGCTCCCATTTCAAGGGAAGACTTGCCCGTTCGAAATAATACAATCAAAAAATCGATCAAACCGGATGCAACTCGTATCAAATCGGAATCAAGTCATATGAAGCCGGTTAATAATTCCACCCGTCGACCAGAACAAGGGTATAAACAGACAATGCCAACTGCTGTTTCGTGGGACATATTCAATGAAATATTCGATGGATCGCCCGCTCAATCTTCTTCTTCAGTAAGAAAAAACTCGAACCCTGCTCAGCTTGTTCGACCAATTTCTTCTAATCAGCAATCAAGATCGAACAAATTCCCAGAGATTTCCCGTGTTCAAACAAAACCGCGGGAATACCCTAGTGCCGAAATCAACAATCAAAGTCGAATTAATAGCAAACCGAGGATAGAGGACATAGGGCATCGTAATGAAGACAGATATGGAAGGCAAATGGCTCAGAAAGTTGCATCTCGTTCGGTACTTGTCAATAATAAAAAAAGAGATGCAAGAGACATTTCACCGGAATCTTCCCGAACGTCAAAACAAGAAGACCCGCGCCCACCAGCTAAAAAGCGCCTTTTCAATAGTGGTGTCGCTTCGTCTTCACTCGATGTTCAAAATAGGAAACGACTTGTAAGAGACTTATCCCCCGGACCATCTCGTGTATCCAAACACCGACAATCTGCAGGTAGGAACGTCACTCATAGGGACATCGAAGCGATGGATGAGCGGCAGATCAGAGCAAATGTTTCATCGATCATCCAGTCTATATTTCCTAGGCGAGAAGTTTCGCGTCGGATCGATTATGAGGATGATGATGATTTTGCAATGGAGGCATCCGGATCCGACGTTTTCCGTGAAGAAGCGATCAGTACTAGACTGGCTAAACAAGAGGATGAGGAGCAGGAGAGGATCGACCAACAAAGACGTCTTCTTAAAGCTAAAAGAGCCAAAAAATTGACACACTAAATACGAAATAAAGATGATACTTCAATCAAATTGCGGTTTGAGATTTCAATCTATTCCGGTCAATTGCAGATCCATCATCAATGTGAAGAAACTGTCAGTACGACGAAGTATTGATGCGTTCTAAAGAAAAATATTATGGATGTGTTTTCTTTAGTCTGATGGGAATTTTATTATTAATATTTTGATTATGTTAGGAAAACCAATAGTTGTTTCATGTTGTCGCTCTTTTCATTTGAGCCATAAAAGTAGTAACAATATTCAGTTTCTCCTAATATCCTATTGTATAATTTCAGTAATTCTTTTCATGTCATTTTAAATTTACTGAAGTCAAATAAGGTTCAATCCATTATTCCTTTGTTTGAATCTTGGAGGCTTACGCTTTAATGTTATCAATTAATTTAAAATACTATTAAGACATTTAATTTAACAATTACTTTTCAAAAAGTTGTTCTGGCAACGACATAGAAATACATATAGATGTGTGACCACCTTAATTAATATGTATATAATTTATAATACGAGTCAGTGTAGATATGCAAATGAATTTGTAAATATTTGTAAAATGGTAATAAAATATCGAACTATAAGGAAAATTTTTACAAATACCAATCATATAATTTGATTAGTATTGATTGCACATTTTTCCACAAACACGTTTTAATACAAGCTCATTGTTTATGTCAAACGTTTTTTTGAAAATGGAAGAGCCAAGTCAAAAATATATTAAAATAGACTTATTTGCAAAAAAAATTTTTTTAATTAAAAATTAAAATTTATATTAAACCCAGGATATTCTTTTATATATCCTCATGTTCGTTTTTTTAAAATGACATCATATTAGAAACAATGCATTGTTTAAACAAAAAAAATTTTTTTACAATAATACGCATCTTTGTATTTTACAAATTTACCTAACCATTTTTTTTAAAAAATAAAAATAAAATAATTTTTTTAAAATTGAAAATTTAAATTATAAATAATAGTGATGGTTTAAAAAACCTATTAATAAAAAAAAAAAAAAGAGATTTTTTATAATTATGAAAACAGCAATTTTTTATAATTAAAACTTATGGTGCTTTACTATTTATAATTATTAAAATATATATATACATATACATTTTCTAAGAAATACAATCAAATTATATTATTTATCTCATAAATATAAATACATGTTTTAAATTCTTGAAGCAAGATAAGAAATTTGAATTTGAATTTGTATTTTTTAAAATATAGATTATTGTGTATATTAAATTTGTAATTTTTAAAGATTTTTGATTAATTGTAACATTATGTAATTCGAAAAATCGATATTATATTTTTTATCAACATATTTAAACAATGCTTGAATATATTGATGAGGTTTTTAATAAAATAAATATGGTTAATTGTACTGTTAATTGAATTAAAAAAATAATAATTATAAATTATGATTTTTATATATTAGATACTCTATATATGGTATATTTGAATTTATTTATTATCATTTTTATTTAAAATCCAATTTATTTTTTTTTATTAATAGTTTCAATTTATTTTTTTTAATTGATTAATTCTATCATGAATTTTATTTATTACAAAAAAAAAACAAACTTGAAAAAACCATATTATCATTTTTTTTTTAATATTAATTATTAGAAGAAACACACTTGAAAAATATATATATATATTTTTTTGAATATTAATCAAATATATATTTTTTATTAATTCTTTTATCAATTTTACAATACAGAATAAAATAAATAAATGAATACACATTGAAAATTTTTATTCTATTTTAAATTCTGAATTAGATATGGAGCTTTTTAAAAAAATAATCAATTGAGATTCTAAATTGATTAATTACCCAATTTATATTATCTATTATTACTTGTCATATACTAATTTATGGCACAGATGTGTAGAAGATTCAAGCATCATGCCTATTATAAGAGAATACTTGGAAAAGAAATTTTTCGATATCTTAATAAACATTAATGTTTGAATCATGGTATAGTATAGTGGTGTCGCACGATAATTTATGATCGGTGTTAATTTTATAAATGTAATTATAACGGTAAATTGTCAAGCTTTATAGGGAGTAGCTCGAAAAGAAATAAATCAAGTTTGCCTTCAACAAGTAATGATGAACACAGCTCTTATTATAAAAAAAATTTTTTTCTCGACCTCCCTCGTCTTGATAAGACCTATACACAATGACCTCTCTTTTTTCTCGTCCACTCGGTGCGTTCATTTTGCTCATCTTGATTGTATATAACATCATTTAATGAATACTAAATTAAATGAGACACTAATCATTTCAATTTCACGTTACAGATCTGATTTATTTCATTTATTTTGTTACGCATATTCCTCCGACCGTCTTGCTTGACTTGTTTCCGGTTTATCCGGAATCACGAATGCCCGAATTTTTGGTATCGATCAATCAGTATTATAAAAATAATTACAATGATCCACTGTTTGTGAAAACTCCAACGTGGTTTCGGGCTTGCCTCTATGCTGAATTTTTTCTCCAACTCCCATTTTTTGTCTATGCGTCATTCGCATTATGGAAAAGTAAATTTTTTTTTTTTTCCTGCACCGATCAAAAATTATGACACGATGGACAATGCCTTATAATTATTTTTTGAAAAAATAAACACAGATAGTTCGAGTGTCCGGCTTCCACTGTTAGTCTACGCGGCTCATGTGTCAACTCAGACCTACCTGTGTCTTGCCAGTCTTTATTTTGAAAATCACGAAGGATTCGAGAAAAGTCAAAGGAACTTTTTGTTACTTGTTTACTTTCCTTATTTAATTGTACCCCTTATTATTTTGGCAGATTCATTTTCAAGAATCAGGTTAATTGAATCATCCGTGGGTTTAAAGAAAAAAAGTAAATCTCAATAACTACCCTAATCTAGTAATTGTTATTAGTAACTGAGTATAATCCGTTAATTTAAGATAAATAACTAATGCGTTAAAGATACAGATTTTTTCACAATTCAATTTTTCTTTGGGGATCTCCTACAATCGATGATTTTGCTTTGGATGTACATGAAGAAAAGATTCATTTGATGTTTTCATTATTTTTTCAATCACCCATTCATCCAGTGAACTCTCATGGGTACATAACCAATCACAGTTTAGGTTGAAACGTACCAATGATACCGCAGGCGAGACGGGCACCAGCGTTACCAGTTGTAAGGGAAAATTCGTGTCCACCCTTTCCCAGGTCATCTATGTCGGCATGAACGATCACCGATCGACTATTTTTTGCAAAGAAATATACGATATAAGTCTTTATAGGAAAAAACTCGTAAGCGAATTTTACAGATCTTACCCAACCACCGAGTTCGGACCAGATAACGTAATCTTTTTGTCAATGATATGGGTTTTAACGACGCCACCTGCGGAAGCTATAACATTGCCCAAGTCGCCGACATGCCTATTTTCATCGTTGGGAGCCCCGTGCTGCTTGTTGAAAGGGTTGAAGTGTCCTCCAGCGGAGGTGCATCCGTTGGTGGTGTCGCCAAACTCACTAATCATTCATTGGAGTTATCGTAATTCACTTAATGAGCGTGTTTCACATAATTCATTGGAATTTTGAGAGGATGCTCACTGAATATGAAACCCATGCTCTCCTGGCTTTAGACCTTTGATTTCTATGTCGATACGTGTAGGCGAATTTTCATTTTCTTGTGTGAAAGTGACGATGCCACTGACAGTGATAGTTGGGTTGTCTCCACGAAGAACTGCAATTGCCTTAATGGTCATTATATAACGTGTAACGAAATGATGTAAAAATTTGTGCCCTTTATATATTAAGAATTTAATGTCACGTGGTTAAATTGATAAAAAAAACGGTATGATCTTGAATATTATCACTTAACCAATTTCTTCAGACAATTAATATGAAAGAACAAATTGTCGAAACAGCTCCGCGACGAATGCAAGTTTCTAAAATAGATTTGCTACTATATTTTTCGTTTGTAAAGACGTGCACTGAAATTAATTTTGATTACTTAGCAAACACATCCAGTTTAGTGTGCTTTCTCCCCAAGAGATCATAAAAAATTCTCAACTTGCGATCACGCATCGCGACCTTTTTAATGAAAATCGCGCCCCAATGGAAAATGGTGTCCTCGACACACGCTTGGTTCGTTTCGTTTGAATTGAAAATGTTTTGTGATATTGACTAACACGTTTCGAATCATTTAGGGTACCTCCGATCACGACATTTTATGCGAAACTTGTGGTGAAAAAATGGCACAATGCATTGGTCATTTCGGTTATATTAAGTTGATATTGCCAGTGTTTCACATCGGATATTTCAAGGCTGTGATCAATATGCTGCAAAACATTTGCAAGGTAAACCTCATTAAATATGTTCATTAGTTTTGGTCAAACGTGTTTGATAAATACTTTAATTAATAGATTTTTTAAGTTACCTTTGTCGTGTCATGGATAATAGACTTGCAGTCGCGTCTTATTAGAGGAAAATGATAGGAGAACGTTCCTCAAGAGACTGAGGAATTCGAAAGAACCATCTGCGCGTGCAAAGATTGAGAAGGCCATAAATGCCGCATGTAAAAAAGTGGTAGAATGCCCATATTGCAAAGGGATTAATGGATCTGTGAAAAAAGTTGGAGCGATCAAAATTGTACACGAAAAATTCAAGTCCAAGAAAGCGCAAGAGGAACATGAAAAATTTAAGATTACCTTTGCCAATGCTATCGAGGCCAGCCCAGAGCTGAAAGCGCATTTACACAAAGCACAGGAAGATTTGAATGCGATGAAGGTGCTCGAGCTATTTAAGAAAATATCTGACGAAGTATGTAAAGAGTTTAACTCTCTTTGTGCAAGCTTATAATTAGAAGATTAACGATTACCAAACTGATTTAATATCAAGGATTCTGAATTACTTGGATTGGATCCACAAAATGTGAGACCCGAACTTTTTATATGGCAACGTGTTCCCGTACCTCCCGTGGCAATTCGTCCATCAATTGCTCAGGACAACGCAAGGTCAGTAATAATTTGATATTATAATCTAACTCATTATGATCAATTAATTTAACTATTTATTTTACACAGTACCGAGGATGACTTGACGGTTAAATTGTCAGAAATAGTTCAAACAAATACCAACATAACGGCAGCTCTAAATAAAGGCGTTACAATATCACAATTAATGGTTTCTTTTTTTTTTTTTTTTTTAACGAGTTTTATGATATTTTGCAATTTTCATCGCATTCTAATTGTTTATGCACATTCTTAATTAAAAGGAACAATGGGACTACTTGCAGCTGACGGTTGCAATGTATATTAATAGTGAACTTCCGGGAGTAGGAAATATGGCGGTAAGCTTTATGTTTGACATTAAACCAGCAAAATCTTCTTAGACTTATTTTATTATTATGATTTTTTTTTCCAGGGTGTCAAGCCTAGCAGGGGATTGTGTCAGCGATTAAAAGGGAAGCAGGGTAGATTTCGAGGAAATTTATCTGGAAAGCGTGTCGATTTTTCGGGTCGTACCGTTATATCTCCGGATCCTAATCTTCGAATCGATGAAGTAAATGTTTGATTGTTGACAGATATTTTGGATTTGGGCATGACGTCTAATAGAATTTATTGTAAATAAATTTAAGGTTGCTGTACCAGTATTGGTCTCCAAGATATTGACATATCCAGAAAGAGTTTTCGCACATAATATTGATAAGTTGCGTAAGTGTATAATGAACGGATCGGATACACATCCTGGTGCCAATTTTGTAATGAACAAAGGAGGAGGAAAAAGGTAATGAATGAATACGTGGAGGCGACCAATTGTTCGAACTATACGGAATCTGACATTTACATTTAACAAAGGTACCTCAAGTACGCCGACCAATCTTCGAGAGATGCGTGCGCTGCCGAACTGCAAATTGGCGATGTAGTGGAACGCCATTTAAACGACGGGGATGTCGTTTTATTTAATAGACAACCTTCTCTTCACAAACTCAGCATAATGGCGCATTATGTAATGTCTTCAACAATGATTCAGAATTGTGGTTAATTTTTTTCTCGATCTGAGCTTTTTTTGGTACTCTTTGATGTAGGTCCGTGTCAAACCGGGACGTACTTTTCGATTCAATGAATGTGTGTGCACCCCTTATAACGCCGACTTCGACGGCGATGAAATGAACCTACATGTGCCTCAAACTGAAGAGGCTCGTGTTGAAGCAATTGAATTAATGGGCGTAAAAAATAATTTGGTGACCCCCAGAAATGGAGATCCAATTATTGCTGCCATTCAGGATTTTATCACTTCCTCTTATTTAATTACTAAAAAGGACATTTTCTACAACCGGGCTCAATTCACACAGATTTGTGCATACATGGCCAATGCCGATATGCATATAGACATTCCTCCGCCGGCTATTGTTGCGCCGGTGAAATTATGGACTGGAAAGCAAATTTTCAATGTGTTAATGCGCCCTAACAAGCGTTCGAACGTTCTGGTGAATCTTGAAAGTAAAGGGAAATCGTTTGAAAAAAAGGAAGGAAGAACCCCTGACATGTGCCCAAACGATGGTTATGTAGTCATTAGAAATAGTGAGATTATGTGTGGCGTGATTGACAAGTCATTGGTAGGGGATGGAAACAAACATTCTCTGTTTTACACTATTCTTCGTGATTACGGTGCAATAGAGGCAGCAAATGCTATGAATCGCCTGTCGAAATTATGCTCAAGATGGTTAGGTAATCTCTTTTTTTTTTTTTCAGATTCTGTGCAATGGGTTAATTTTTATTGTTATTCTGATTATGCCAATTTTTTTATTTGTGGTTTTTCGTGTTAAAGCAAACCATGGTTTTTCTATCGGTATAAGCGACGTACAATTGGGAGAAGTGCTAAGAGAGAAAAAGGATTACCTCATTGCAGAGGCAAACAAATCTTGTGATGAACTTATTGAGCGATCAAAAGCAGGCTTATTGGAGAATCAACCTGGCTGCAACGAGGAACAAACGTTGGAGGTGAGTTTTTTTTTCTGAACATATTTCAATTTTGCGTGACATTTATTCACGTCTATTTTTTTTTTCAGACTCACATATCTGGAATCTTATCAAAAGTTCGTGATGATGCAGGTCAAATTTGCATGACCGAATTAAATAAGCATAACGCACCTCTAATTATGGCGACATGCGGATCAAAAGGTACAACTTATGTTCTAGATTCGGAATGGTTGCAATACTGTTTTTTGGTCGTTAATCGATGTTCAAAAATGCAGGGTCAAAAATTAATGTATCCCAGATGGTCGCATGTGTCGGACAGCAAATTATTAGTGGTAGCCGTATCCCTGATGGATTTCAGGATCGTTCTTTACCGCATTTTCCAAAACATTGTGAGTTCCATCGTATTTCAGAAGAGAAAGTGAATTATGTATGTTTTTCGGAACTTTCTTAAAAACTTTTTTCTTTCTTAGCAAAAACACCAGCTGCTAGAGGGTTTGTCAGAAATAGTTTCTATAGCGGTTTGTCTCCCACCGAATTTCTTTTTCATGCCATCTCTGGTCGTGAAGGTCTTGTGGATACTGCCGTTAAAACTGCCGAAACAGGTTATATGCAGAGAAAGCTCATGAAGGTATCTTACAACGAATTCAACGTTTGTTCAATTCGTCATTACATCATTTATTTCATTACGTGTCGCTGTTCTCAACACATTCTTTAGGCTTTGGAAGATCTTGCGATACACTATGATATGTCGGTGCGAAATTCTTCAGGTGGTCTTGTCCAATTTTACTATGGTGATGACGGTCTAGACCCAGCGTATCTCGAGGATGAGGTTTTACCTGTTGATCTCAAGCGCAATCTTCAACACGTCATTGTCAGTAGTTTTATAATTCTTGCGCATATGCTTCAAAGCATGATGCTTAATCATTTCATAATTTTTGCAGAACGTGACACCACGAGGTGGTGATCGAGCACTTTTGCCATACGAAATTAAAGAAATTGCCAAAGGAGTTCTGGAGGGCGAGAAATTTCGAAAATCTTGCACTTCATCATATATTGGGTCTTTGAATAATTTTATTCAAAAAGAATTAGTCGAAAAACTTGCTTCAATACGGGATTCATATTCCTTGATGCGAGCTGATGAGAAACCTATTGACGAGTACGGCGATGTTGACTTTGATTACGCATTATCGAGTTCCGGTATGCTTTTTTTCCTAAAACAAAAAAAAAATTGATTAATTAAATATTTTATACGATAATCTAACATATTTGATTTAATTGTTAAGGTTCTTTAAAAAATATCGTGAATCAAAAGTTAATGATAACCGAAAGCCAGCTTCTAAAATTTTTAGATACTTGTTGGCACAAGTTTATGAGAGCCAAGATCGAACCAGGTTAGAAGAAATTTCTACGCATCCTAAAAATAATATGATTGGGAATTTACTAGAGTCCGTACGATCCTTCACACCATTTTGTAGGAACGGCTGTTGGTGCTTTAGGTGCCCAATCCATCGGTGAACCCGGAACTCAGATGACTCTAAAAACCTTCCATTTTGCCGGTGTTGCATCCATGAATATCACCCTTGGTGTTCCACGTATTAAAGAGATCATTAATGCATCAAAGACAATTAGCACACCAATTATCACATGTCATCTGGTCAACGATACTAATGTTAAATCTGCCAGAATAGTCAAAGGACGCTTAGAGACAACTTATTTGGGAGATGTGTGTTTTAATATTGGATTAACAATTCGTCTTATTTATTCATTCGTTTAAGTTGTCTCATCGAATTTAATTTTACTTAGGTTGCAAAATACATTGATGAAATATACGAACGTGAAACGAGCTTCCTTGCCATTAAGATAGATCTGGAAGCTATACAAAAACTTCAGGTTTGGATGAATAATACTTTTCAATTCCTTCAAGATCTCTATTAATTTATCGCCTCTCCTGTAATATTAGTTGGAAACAAACATGAAAGAAATTGCGCGGTCCATAGTCAACGACCGCAAATTAAAACTTGAGATTGTATGTAGCTATTCTTTGATATTTTTTTTTGTCCTCGAATTGATTCATTTAATCACCATATCATTATTGCAACTAATTAACAGCAAGGAATTCGTATTGTTCTTCCCGATGAAATTGATGTGTATGTGCCGGATAAAGAAATTTCGAAAACACCGTTTGATTCTTATTACCGGTTACAGAATTTGAAACGCGCTCTACCAAAAGTTATAATAAAAGTATGTTTTAAATTGAGCATTGCTGTTCTTAGTGATCTTTTCATACTAGTTTTGATATATATATATATATATTAGGGAATACAATCGGTGACAAGAGCTGTCATCAGCGAAGCGAAAGCGGGAAAAAAACATTTACTTGTCGAAGGTTACGGTCTTCGAGAAGTGATGACAACAGAAGGTATCGTCGGAACGAAAACAACTAGTAACAATGTTAACGAGGTTCACAAGGTTCTAGGAATCGAGGCTGCAAGGTAAATAACTTGAAAATGGATCTCATCATTGAAACAATAGGAAAGAATCGAAGTTTTGATCATTCAGAGTTTTTGTGTATAGAAATACTATTATTCATGAAATTCAATATACCATGGGGAGTCACGGGATGAGTATTGACCCAAGGCACGTTATGTTGCTTGGAGATATCATGACCTACAAGGTGAACTTTGTTAACTCTATAAATATAGTCTTTCCAAATATATGCTGATAATTCAGTTGTACTTCCTTGTAGGGAGAGGTTTTAGGAATACATCGATTTGGTATTTCCAATATGAAAAGCAGTGTTCTCATGTTGGCGTCTTTCGAGAAAACGACAGATCATCTTTTTGACGCTGCATTACATAGTAAACGCGATTGTCTCGAAGGTGTGAGTGAATCTATCATTATGGGGATGCCTATGCAACTGGGATCCGGGTTGTTCAAATTAATAAGAAAATCGCATCTTGGTGAAGAACAACCAAAAAGGAGAAAACTTTTATTTGACTCAAAAGAAAATCACGTGAAATTTATTTACGGCGATATACAAAACGATACAAATGCGTCATGAAAAAATGAGACGGTAGCTATTTTTATTGTAACGATCCACATAAGTTAGGAAAAACCATTATTACATTAGATTACACGCCGTCATATTATTTATGTGGGTTGTGTTAACAACCTAACGTGTTAATATATAATTTTTCGCAATTCACACTGCTTCTTCCAGCTGACTGTAATTCTGTGAATTTCGTTGTCCGCTCCTGAAGGGCGGGATGTCAAAACGGAATAGTTCCTTAAAACTACCGTAAAGGATAAACTGTAACACAATAACTGAGTCCATGGTCAATTGTATGATGCCACAAATGATGAATTGAAGCGGAGAACCAGTATTAATGTAATAAAAACTTTTAAACGAATCGCCACCGAACCAAGTGAGAAGAACCAATGGACTTTTTTTTTCCAATTATGAAAAAAGTTGATTGATAAATAAAATTAACAAAGATGATCAAATGATTATTCATGAGCCCATGAATGCCTCCTACCTGAAGCCTGAGACTGATTTGAATTGATAATTTTGCCAAGCTTGAGGCATTGGTAAAGTTGCCTCTATGCCAAGGGCCTGTGCAGATCAACATGACATTTAAAATCACCTGAAAAAACGAATAATTAAGAATACTGAATATTACAAAATTATTATACATACTAAAACTCCCAATATTTCTACAAACCACGTCTCTTTGATCAAGAAATTTGATAAAATTCCCAAAAATCCTGTTAGTAAAATTAAGCAAATTATGTATGGTCTGTAAGTATCCCAATTCCAAAACCATCGTCGATGAGGAACAGGTGCCGCCGGATAACGGAACTTTAAACATTCCGCAAGAAGGATGAGTTGTACAATAATCATTAGAATGCTTTGATATAAGAGTGTTTTGTCGAATTCTTTGCCTATCCTGAGAATCGCAAGATATCAAACGTTAAATTTTGAAAAATCACATTCATGCAAAGAGCAGAAAAAACAATCCTAGAATTCTCTCTATTACCAAAAGAATATACGAATAATGCTAAATGCGTTTTATATAAAATAATAGATCCTAGATTAAAAATGGCCAACTAACGCGTTTTTTATAGCACGTGACATGAAATATGCGAATTCAAAATTTTGCTTTACTTGCTGGCTAGCAAAATTCCACTTGTATCTAAAGTGAAGCCGGAACTGGATTTCGTCCGTCTGAATTTCGCGATTTGGTCGAAATAACCCAATACCGGGCCAACGACCATACCAATTTCAAAAGCATAATCGAGCACTCCTTTAGACATTTCGAGAATGAGTAATTTTTTTTTTTTTTAACAAAAGGTTTGATTGAAAGTTTGACGTGAAAAATTCGATACACCCAATTTATATAGTAGAGATTTCATTGTTTTCCCCGATTGGCTAAGTCATTTGTGCTACAAGCCCATGCATGCACGCATGGTAAAAGTTTTGACAGGAAGCTGCAAATGGTATGGCGAAGTTAAACCCCATCGAATCCTGAAAAGAGCATGATTTTCGGATGTGCGCCAGTAACCGGGCCCACAAAGATACCTTTATGGAAGTATTGCCTCCGAATCTTTTTGCACATATCGGAACTGAATTTTTTTTTGTGATAAAATTTACGAACCATTGTAATGTGATCAGAAAGAATAATTGCGCTTAGCGTTCAGGCCACAAGGTCGATAAATAAGAATTCCCAAATGCCGCAATTCACATCAATCAATATGCTAGATAACAACTGTATGCTAATGCATTAAGGCGCAGCTTGAAAAAGGAAATCGCCAATCTTTCTAGAATTTTCGTCGTTGAAATCCTGATGGTTAGGCACATGCTGTGTATAAATATGATTGAAAAAAAAAATCCAATATTTACCATGAATTCTCTAAAGAAAATTCATATAATAATATCAGATACAGTATGATATTTTTTACGATGTTGAATTTAAAGTTAATATTGATTACCAACAAATTCTTGGTTTATTATAATTTATTTAATTTTTCACGTCAAATACTTTCATCAGCAAACGCTTGCACCAAGTTTTGATCGGAAACTCGTTCACACAAATTTACTCTTCTTGATTATCCCAAATTAAATAATACATAGTCGTAGCGAACTCAGAATACGATCTTTGGATGCCACCGAAGTTAATTCTTTAAAGTTTAAACCCAAATATCTGTTCTCATTTGTAATGCGGGTGACATTCAACCAGAAAACACGTGAGGAGTAATATACAGTTTCTTCAACTTTAGGCGCGAAGGTTATGTTAATCCTCGTTATTCGTAAAACTAAATTACACTAATTTTAGAATAAATAATCTACCCTTTGTTTCTAAAAAAATAAAAAGAACCTTGCGGAACCTCTGATTTTTAAAGAAACCCCTCTCTAAATGAATTCTACTATTAATATTAAAATCTCTATGTATTCAGTCGGTATCACCAGCAGCAGTCTCAGAATCTTCATCACCAGATACTTCGGCGTTCTCTTTTTCCACACGAGCCATAAGTTCCGCAAGTTCCATTTCGTCCGTTTCGCTAACTGCTTTGGGCTAATTATGTTTTAAGAACAACGTTGTTAACGGAAATCGGTATGAGAAAGTAATTAAAAATAATTACACAAACCTTCATTTTAACCGTCAGATTGCCCCCGGACTTTTCAATAGATTCTTGGATGACAACTATCGCTTTCTCTAGAATTTCGACTCCCAAAGTTTTGTCCAGGGCGTTGGTGATAAGGACATACAGTGGAGGAGCAACTAATTTGATCTAACCCGGGTAGTGAAAATAATCAAAAATCGCGATAAATTAGGCGTAATAAAGAAAATTAGAAAAATACCTTGATTACAGTATCATCGGTTTCGCAGGATTCACCGGCCTTGAGTGCAGTCTTAATGGCATCGATGCCTTCATAACCAAAGCAGGTTACTTCGACATCTATGAAGATTTTATAATTCTCGAATTAATAAAAGAAACGGTAGAAATATTCGCCATATGACACATATGACGTACCAGCACGAAACTTGATTGGCTGTGGCGTTAACCTTCGTTTGATATTGCCTAATAATTCATTGGCTATCTCTTGTGAGATTTCTAGGCCCTCGAACACCTTTTCAGGCTCACTGCAAAGTATAAGGTTCTGAATTCGAAAAAAATCCGAAGAAATTAAAAGTGAGAAAGAAAAGATATTGCAAACCTACGTGATTGCCAATTTAAATGCTTCATAGGCATGACCGTATTTTTTATACAACGGCCATCCAATTTGAGTGTAAAGGTCCTCAAGTACCATGTCTTGTTTTTCGGCAACATGCCGCATTATGCTGTGTACCTAAAGGTAATCCGTGGTGAATGAAGATCACGTAATCTTTATTGCCACTAATAAATGATAGGTCAAAAGGTCGTACTGCTTTAGATTTATTATATTTTTCTTCGGCCTTTGCAATATCTTCCGGAGAGACCCGACGTTTGGACAGATCAATATATCCTTAAAAAATAAAGATCAGTAAGATAAATCCATCGATAGACAATAACAAATAATAAATGGTTTATACCTTTTTCTTTGTCGACCCTTAAAACGACAACGACTTCATTCCTTCCGACTCTAATCAATTTCTGAATACTTCGGATACGTCTCCTCGACAATTCCGACAAGAGGATCATACCTTCAATATTGTCATATTCTAACTGCAGAAATGAAATTATGAAATTCTTAACGGTCTCCTTTTTCGAAGTGCTATAAAGGATACATATTCATTCGCGATTTTTACCAGTTTCACGTAAGCACCCATTTCGGCGATCTGTCGAACATTAACCATAACCAGATCTTCTACCTCTGGATATTTCGCTTCGTACATGCGGCATTGAAATTGCTGTGGGTTTGACATTATGGTATGCTTATGTTAGAAAAACGGTTTTTTTTTCTTTTTTTTTTTTTTTGATGACTCATAATTTTCTGGTAGTACGATCGTATCACATTTTTAAATCACATTGCTGATGAAAAAATTTTGGCGGGATCTAAGATCAAGATTAAATACAAGGCCGATCTGTTTGGCGTTCAACGAAGCATCATCTCAAGGTACCCAAGTTTTTATGTTATATAAGGCAAGAAAGGTCATTGTGAGTATTTTTTAAATCGATTCGCTGCTTGTCTCAAAGATGCTGATTAATCGTCTTCCTTCCATCACTAGATTCATAATAAATCGTCCATCCACTAGTTCCATTGGCAAATGGAATCATGTATCCAATTTTTGTACCACTGCCGCCCGTTCGACCTCGAATGTCGCCCCAGCTCCGCCAGGGGTTCCTCATTATATCACTCATGCTGACTTGTCCTCTCATCAAATCTATAATCTACTTACATCGGCAATCCAACACAAGTATAATGTAAAATACCTTGATGTCAACTCGGGACAGCCCTTAGCTGGGAAAACACTTGCGATTATGTTTTCTAAACGGTCGACAAGAACAAGGGTTGCCACGGAAACAGCCATAACATATCTTGGTAACGAATTCTGAGGACTATTAATTTGTCGACAACAGTTGCATGTCAGTTATCCCTGACCGCTCATTTATTTGTATATAGGCGGACAACCAATGTTCTTAGGCTCTCAAGATATTCAACTGGGTGTTAATGAATCGCTTTTGGATACTAGCAAAGTTGTGTCCAGTATGGTGGCTGGTATAATGGCACGTGTTGGTGCTCATTCTGATATTGAGGTAAATTTTTTTATTTTAATTTGCCTTCCACATTTTTATGCACAGGTATATTTAATATGAACTCGTGACAGACATTGGCGAAATATTCCACCGTGCCCGTGATCAATGCTCTTTCAGATAAATATCATCCAACGCAAATTCTGGCAGACCTAATGACAATGCACGAAATTTTTGGTCCTCAACCAAAAGATGATTCTTCTTACGTTGCTCATCTAACACATCCCAGAGGAACACTACCAGGATTGAAGGTTGCGTGGGTTGGTGATGGCAACAACATCTTACACAGTATGTTGGTGACCTTTCCAAAGTTAGGCATTCATTTGTCAGTAGCTACACCCAAAGGCTACAGTCCAGCTGAGGATGTGGTAAATATTGCAAAAGACGAGGCAGCGAAAACTAACACAGAAGTCAGCTTTACTCATGATCCTAAAGTGGCTGTTAAGAATGCGGATGTCATCGTCACTGATACTTGGTAGGTCGTGACTAGTAGCTAGTAGCCATGGCGAAACTTAAAGCCATTTTCTGAACGAATATTTTTAATGTTTGATGTATTCAGGATTAGCATGGGACAAGAGTCAGAAAAAGCGAAACGGCTACATGATTTTGCTGGATATCAGGTCACATCATCACTAGCCAAGGAGGGTGGAGCCAAACCTGACTGGAAATTTTTACATTGTCTTCCCAGGAAACAAGAAGAGGTTTCGGATGAGGTTCGTTCTCTAAATTGAGTTTCCTGTCATGAGCTTTCCCTAAACCGATTTTTCCTTTATAATTCGCAGGTATTTTATTCGCCACGATCCTTTGTATTTCAAGAGGCCGAAAATCGCAAGTGGACAATCCTTGCTGTACTAGACGCATTACTCATCAAAAAAGGATTTGATTAAAGAAAATACTGTTTCATTTATTCATGACTGGCAAATTTTTTTTGTTCAGAAAGATACACACACTTGACAATAAATTTTAAACATGACTTCAATACAATTCTGTGTAAATGATTATTATTATTGAGAAGACATTTTGATGCGTATGAAAAGAATTACGGTTGAGAACAGGGATTAGATGAAAAATGAACAAGTTTGAGGAGGATGGTAATGAGATTAAGACTAATGTTCGTTTCTCTACACCCACTAAATTACTCGAGAATATAGGGTATTCTAGCTATATTTACAAGATTATATATATAAAGATTAAAGCCGATTTTTTCGAAAAGAGAATGAAAGAGAGAAAGAATTTGATCGAGGTGAGATAGGTGAGCGTAGGGTGAAGTTTTTTACTTGGCTTGGCTCTTTTGGGTTTCGGTCTGGTTTTTAGGGTTCTCGGCTCTATCAATAACACAATGAATTCACTCAATTAGCATTCCGATAATATTAGGAGAGAAACAAATAATTTACTTACGAATCTTTCCAACGTTGGGCCACCATTTTAAAGGCCTCCTTGTGGTTTAGATCTGGGTTTTCGGTTTTGACTTTGGCGAGTTCGGTTTTCATGAACTTATTATACGCAGAGAGCTTCTTGGCTGCTGGTCGATAAAAAAAAAGATTAAATACCGCCATATGGGAAGGAGAAACACATATAAATATAAAACACATTAAACTAAAATTCACCTCCTGTGCTTCGTTTTGCAGTCTTTTCCTTTGCCATTTTTTTTTTTTAGAGTTTGTGATGAACGATGGAAGAAAGGTGATAAGTTTTTACGAATGGAGCAATTAAAAAGCTTATTACTGAGTACGACTTATAAAGAAAATCAATAGATGATGAAGTGAAAGAGGAGGCTCAGAGGTGGTCCTTTTATAATAATTTCGAATGGTCGCGTTTGATGTGTTGATGCGCTGATGTTATTTTGATGTAAAAACTTTTGCGCGCTGATGCTGGTTATGTGGTGGATCAGAATACACGTGAGGACGTGACTATTTTGACGCGCGAAATCGATCATCTATGAACACGTGTTTCTCGTCGCGTACATAAGCTCGCGTTAGACAACCAATCAGTGAAATACGTAAATATGTAGATTATTAATCGAGATTTCAGGGTTACTTTCACATAAAACGCGACATGTCTACATTTTCAGAGAAGTCGCACGACAAAATAGATCCATGAAGAGCGCGTTAATATGTTCGGCATGAATGACAAATGAAATAAAAACGCAATTTTAGATTTATTACAATATGCTCTAGTACTTTTATTTAAAATGGTGTTAACAAACAAAATGATATAGTTTTAATTTAATTTTTTTTTTTAATAGTTATTATTAACCCATGTTAATAAAGTTAATAATAGTAATAATTAGTATCACATGATTTTGTTGGCAACACTAGTGTGAATGAAGAAATGGTTCATCTAAAATCCACGATTACTGAAAATTATATGATTGTAACTAAAGGAAAATGTGTGGTGGTTGGCAACCTTTCCTGCAAGTGTTTACTATACATTTCATGTAGAGTCTTCGCCAAGGTGAAACGTTCCTTTCCTTACGATCTCTCTCTGCTTCCTGAGCCATTTACGATAATCTTCCACGGACTTGACCTTCTCGCCGTAATAGTCCGGTGCTGGATTTCGAAGCGAGTGTAATGCCGGATCCGCTCTATTCTTCTTTACATGTTCATAGAATTCACGGTCACGCTAAAATGCACATACATTCCGTTTACAGAAAAGTTAGAGTCAAGAATTCCATCGTGGTTCACTACACGAAGCGATCATTTCGATATGACGCCATTGAGCTAACCGAAAATTTTACTTTCCCTGAACGTACTAAAAAATGCTAGTCTCTATGTACCTGTTCCATCAATCTCACCTCTTCCCTATGAAATAATCTCCAAAGTGAGCTTCCGACGACAGGTCCGATTAGTAAGCCGGTAATGCCACAGAAAACGGTGCCAATACTGTATATGAGGAAAGGTTCCTGACCGAATATCGGGGTTGGATCAAATTCTCTGGTGGCAACGTACACAAGGCTTGCACTAAAGCCACCGAACGCCAAAGGGTATGTTACAATGCGTTCGGTCACCTTCCGTCGACGCCTCAACGCAAAGTAATCGTTCCATGTGAGCTTGCCATCTTTTGTAAGCTGAAATTTATTCTTTCGTTCAGCCGGTCCAGTACTTGTAGAATAAAAATATTTGACATTAAAAACCCTCTGTGAGGAAGATAATGCACCCGCATTTCGAGCAATTCTCGTTACAAACATTACTACGGGTGAGTTTACGAATTCGGGACGTTGAAAATCGGATGTATTCCAATTCTGACGAGAAGAGAGCAGAAGCCATTGCACAGATCAAAACGTTCTTGGTATAGGATTTTAGATATTGCCGATCACAAAATTTTCTGATTTGAAGAGCCAATCAAAAATTTTTTTATTTTCGTGTAACTAACCGGGTATTTATATTGCGATCGGCGTAAAATTTTTTTCTTGGTCATTCTTCGAACATGGCGTTATATAATTTCAAGAGGATCCAGCCGATTCCCGCGGTCAATGATTTTTTGGACATTGTACTTTCAAAGACCCAGCGGAAAACGCCAACGGTAATTCATAAACAATACAAGATTGGACGAATAAGGCAATTTTACATGCGCAAGGTTAAATTCACGCAAGACAGCTTTGAGGAAAAATTGAAAGCCATGCTTGACGAATTTCCAAAACTTGAAGTAAGTTTTCTACATTGACCGTTTGGATTTCAATTGATCCCAGTGTCAAATTGACACCGCGTTATCAAATTTCGTTCTCATAGGACATTCATCCATTCTACTCGGATTTAATGAACGTATTATATGATAAAGATCACTACAAGTTGGCGTTGGGTCAGATAAATACTGCGCGTCATCTAATAGAACAAGTTTCCAAGGAATATGTCCGCTTATTAAAATTCGGTGATTCACTGTACCGATGCAAGACCCTGAAAAGAGCCGCACTTGGAAGGTAATCGCTACAATATTATCATCGTTATCTACACTTACACCTTTAAGCTAATATTTTTTATGTATTATCTTTAGAATGGCTACCATAATGAAACGTCAAAAAGATAGTTTGTTGTATTTAGAACAAGTTCGACAACATTTGGCTCGATTGCCTTCCATAGACCCAAATACTCGTACCCTACTGGTTTGCGGTTATCCTAATGTTGGCAAGTCGAGTTTCATGAATAAGATCACCAGAGCTGATGTCGATGTGCAACCCTATGCTTTTACCACAAAATCTCTATTCGTTGGACACATGGATTACAAATACCTGAGATGGCAGGTGAATGAATGAATGAGTGGATTCTCTTTGATTCTCTTTCCTCGCATCCTAAACTAACACTGTCCTGAACCAAATCCAGGTTATTGATACTCCTGGTATATTAGATCACCCACTCGAGCAAATGAATACCATTGAGATGCAATCTGTTACGGCTCTGGCCCACCTTCGCGCTTGCATCATGTTTTTCATGGACCTTTCGGAACATTGTGGATATAGCGTCGCCGATCAGGTATATAAATCGTCGTTGTCATGCTCGTGCAAAAAGCACATGTTTATTATTCTATTTATTTTTATTATTGATTTCACTATATTATTATATTATATTTTTGAATTTTATAGATAAAACTTTATCATAACATAAAACCACTTTTTGTCAATAAACCGACGTTCATCGTGATCAACAAGATTGACGTAATGCGACTAGAAGATTTACCAGAGGAAGAACAGGCAATGTTAAAAGATATTGTTGAAAAGGACGGAGTACAAATAGCTCAGTTGAGTTGTTTCACCGACGAAGGTGTGATGGACGTTCGGAATATGGTAAGGAAATAATTTTGTGTTACCTCAATCATATTTGTTAACGTAATTTTGTGAGTTAAAAGTAATCCACGAATTATATATAGGCTTGTGATAAACTGTTATCAACTCGGGTCGACTTCAAACTTCGAGGTTCCAAAATAAATGATGTCATTAACAAAATTCATCTCGCCGAACCAGTAGCACGTGACGACATTCCTCGTCCGCCCGTTATTCCAGAAGCAGTGAAAGGTCGGCCATTATATGACATGAAAGATCCGAAGAGACGTAAACTGGAAAGAGACTTGGAGGCTGAGGGTGGTGGTCCTGGTGTTTATAATGTCGACCTCAAAAGTAACTATATGTCTAATAGCAATCTCTATTCGTGTTTGTTTGTCATGTCTAAGTTTCTTCATTATTGGCAGAGAAATATATGCTCAAAAACCCGGATTGGAAATATGATGTCATTCCTGAAATCATGGATGGCAAGAATGTTGCCGACTTTGTTGATCCAGATATTGAGGAGAAGTTAGATGCTCTTGAACGAGAGGAAGAGCGTTTGATGGGCGAAGGCTATTATGATACTGAGGAAGAAATGGTATATATGTGATTCATTATTGGTTTGCTCATGATAAATTGATCAGTATTATTTCTAACCACTTGCATGTAATAGGTGGATTCCGAAGAAGAAAGAATAAAAAAAGTCGCTGAGACTATTAAAGAAAAAAAGAAACTAATAGTACAAGCACACAGAGCTAGCAAGATGATGAAAAATCGACCTATAATGCCTAGAACTGCAACATCAAAGGTATGATTATAATTGGTGATAACAATTATTATTATTATTATTTTGCAACTGTAACCATAATACCCTTTTATATAGTCTATTGATGAAATGGAAGAGAAATTAGGACAACTAGGCCTTGATGTAAGTTCAGTTCGTGCACGTAGCCAAACTAGAAAGCGGAAACGTACAGAGTCCGTAGGTGATGAAATCATTCGAAGTTCTTCGAGTGTTCCAAGAGCAATTGAAACACATGATCGTAGCATCTCTGGAATGCGCGATATCAAGGTAGCAGTCGACGATTACGCAAATTTTCTTTATTATATACTCTTGACTAAAGTTCATTGTCATTTGTAAACAGCAAAAGAACGAAAGTGAAAAACAAAAGAAGATAGCACAACGAAAACCCAACCTGTTTGCAAAGGCTAGTGAATCAGATAGAAAGATTCAATCAAAGAAACCAAAACACCTATATAGTTCTAAAAGCAGTATCGGAAAAAGGGATTGGCGTTAATTTTCGGGATTTTTGTTTGACATTAGTGCTTTTTTTAAATCGTTAATTTATCTTAATTCCAGTCATAAAATTGAATTATAAAATATACAGTATGCATATATCAATGGTCTTGATTGATTCATTGCATGCTAACTACTCAGCAATCAAGTTTTTTGAATATGGCAACTATCTTTCGAATGCTGCTTATCAGTTTAAATGCTAAAAGTAGACTCAAATATGTAATTGCTGTAAAAATAAATGTAATAACATTGTAATAAATTTTTATAACTTGGTTATTAGTAGTGACAAAAAAAAATGACATTTTTTTTTTTAATATCTATAAATTTATACAGAACTTTTATTTAAAATTTTGATTTTTTATTAATATCAGATGTTAAAAAATCATTATATTTATTAATTTATTAATTTTTTTCTTTCTAATCAAATTGCAATCAAGTGCATTTATTAATCTTTAATTAAAACACCATAGTATAACAATAAAATTAGCGTACTATAGTTAAATTATTACATAATTTTCTAATTGCAAAACATCTGTCAATAAATTTATAAATTTGTATATAATTCTTGAATCCTTAATATTAAAATTACTATGTTATTTATATAATCTAATTTTTTATTATTCATTTTATTACAAGAAAATAAATTTATTAAACTATATCTAACTTTTTATTTTTTATTTTTTAAAAAAAAATAATAAATTTTTATTATTCTCTTTATTTGCTAATAAACTTGAGATAGTACAAATTATATTTTAAATAATATTAAATTCTATATTCTTAATACAATTGATATAATTATTTGATATAATTAATTAAACTACTATTAAAATATATAAATAATTAAATTATAATACAATTGTTTTTAAAATTTTGAAAATTAAATTAATAGCAAAATAATTTATATTATATATATAGTTATATTAAATTAATCTATTATTTTTTTATTATACAATATAATAATATAAAAATAAAGGTTAAAATTATATAAATTATATAATAACAGACCTGTGGGTCCATAGTGTAGTAGTTAACACTCCACAGGTCAGATCACAAGATACCAGTTCAACCCCAGGTGAAGGCAGTTGAACCAAATTAAAAATGATATCTGGGGCCATAACCTGTTAAGCCCTGTTTTCCATAAAAAGTCATTCGCACGCTGATTCAGTAGAACATTGGGATTATGATCCCCAGAAAAGGTGTTGTGGCACAACGATCATCTGGTTGGTGTTATGATGATTGCCAGAAGTTGCAAGGTGTATAAGGTGTCTGCTTTCAACAAGCAGGCTTGGTGATTCTTCTCCTAATATCTGGTGTCTTTCACACAAATCCCTACTCTAGTCTCATCCCAATTCAGTAATAAACCAGTCTGGCAGTACTTATTTCGAGAAGGCTTCTGGCTATAAGTCCTGTTTCCTGCAATATGTAAGTCGATGTTCAGGCGGTAAGCACCAGTTATAAGTACCTTGAATGTTCTTAGGTATCATTGGATAGGTAAGAAATTAAATGATTAGTCCAGCTGCAGGTAGTGGTAAAGGGATTTATCCCTGATAGAACAAGCAGTAATTATGTAGCTTTATTTGCCATAGATATTACCCCTAGTGCCCTCTTTCAACTTCCTCTTAATTCCTCTCCAGTTAGAAATAAAGCTGTCCGACTACTAGTAAAAATGCATGCTACTGGTCCAACAAAGAAATACCTTTGTCCAGTAGATTAACCTCTATACCTAATATAGTTAGGAACAAGCTACAGCAAACATTGTTATTTGGAGCAATCCCGATAAGTATTGGGTATAGTTAACAACCGATACGTTATAGCATAGTCCTAGATAATAATGTCGAAAGATATATGTAAATATCATTATTGAATAAATACTCAGCCAAACAATTATTGTTAGTGCACTTTAAAAAATAAAAAAAATAAAAAAATAAATTATATAATAACAGTTACAGAATATTTTTTCTTAATCAAAATTAAAATGATATTTTTATAATACAATTTATATTGTGTATAATGACAATAAAATCAAAATATTTTATAATTAATAAGACAATTTTATAAAATAAAATAAAGAAAATATTAATTATATTTTTTTTAAACTTTAACAAGATAATTTAATAAAAAAATTTATTTTTTTTTTATATTATTAAAAATTAAAATACTCTTCTTATTAATTCTTTTATCAATTCAAAAAACAAATATTCTTGAAAAAAATTTTTATTTTTCAATAATAAAATCTAAATTATATACTATATGTTATTGAAATTTATAAATCCTTGATATAATTGATACAATTATTTGATACAATTAATTGGATCACTATTAAAATATACAGTATAAATAATTAAAATATGATATAATTATTTTTGAGAAATTTTGAAATTAAGTTAATAGCAAATAATTCATATCATATGTATAGTTTAAATATTCTTTTTAATAACATATATTTCTAAAACAAAAGTTTTTTCTACTTGTTTACTTTTTTTTCTTCAAAATTTTTTAAATACTTTAATAACAAAATATTCAAAACTTACTAATTTAGTTTATAGCAAAAACATTCTATTGAAAAAAAAAAACCTATCAAAAAAATGTATTCTTTTACTTTTTTAAAATCTGAAATTTTAAAAAAGTTTACTAGTAAATATATTTTTCAAGCTCCATAAGAATATTGGATTTATTATAAATAAATATCTTTGTTAAAAACAAATAAATAAGCTAATGTCTTTATCTATAAATATTGTGATCAAAATCTGTTTGATCCGTATCCAAGTGGTAGTTTTTAGAAGGAATTAGAGATTATATAGAACAGTCCGTCGTTCCAGAAATAATCTTTCACAAATATTTCAAGGTACGACAAAGATTCCCTAATGAATCTTTGTAACCAAAATGTATTTAATAAAATAATAATACTTTATTATGACACTGAATCAGAAATTCCAACGGTTACAGATGTGAGTTATTAGAAACTGACTAAAAATTATATGGATGGCAACTATTTATATACTGTTTTCTATCCTAAGCTATCTGAACTGTCTGAGTTGTCTGGGCTATCTGGACTGCTTGATCTATGTGTTGCGATATCATAATTTCATAGATCATGGACCTTGTAGGTCTTCTGGGTCTTCCAGGCTGTTTGGATCTTCTAGGCTATCTGATCTACATTACATGTACTATAAATAGATATTTATACTATAATAAAATAATAAATCCTACTGCTAAAAATAAACTAATAATAATTCAATAAAAATAAGTAAAAATAAAACTAAGTTATATGTTCTATCACAATATGAACATATAATTATTTTTATCAATTAAATATCTACACTAATCTTTTTAAATATATTAACAAATTTTCATAAATTTTTGAAAATTTTTGTCTATCTCAATTTAACACTAAATTTTTTATTATATCAGAATCTCTAATTAATAATTAATCAAAATTTTGAATTGGCTAATCAACACATAACAAAAAGGTAAATATAACATGTACTCTTTATATATGTCTTATTATATAATACAATAACAATAATATAATTAAAAAAAACTCTTTCCTATTCCCCCTTCTGCACTTGGAAATTTTCTTTTTAAGAAATTTTAAGTTGTTTACTCTTTTTTTTCTTCGTTCTCCCCTTTCCCCTCTCCCATATCTTTTTATTTCCCCTTCCCTATTTTCTACTCTTCCTTTCTTCAAACTCTCTTATATAAAAATTATCCCCTTCCCTTTCTTTTTCCCCTTTCCTACCAAAGTTAGATTTTTTCTTCTTCCTAAAGGTTTTCTTTTTAGGCCTCTCTTTTTTTTATAAATCTGTTCTCCATAATATCAACCCCCTGGCCAGTCGGTTCCCTTTTCTCAAGATCATATGCAAAAGTGGTAACTTCTCTTAAGACGTGGGCTTCAGAATTTTTCTCTCTTCTATAGTCTTATAGAAAAAGGATAGATGGTTTACCCCTTCAAAAGATCGACATAGTCATCATTACCAAATCCAGTATTGTTTACTTGTTGATGGCTAAACTAGATACATCTAAGAAACTGGTATACAACTATTATTATCTGAAAGTATCCAAGGAGTTGCGCCCCACTGTATCCAGAGGGATATGGCAACCAATGCCAATGTAACTAACAATAAGTCAGATTAGTTTGCAGGTGTCATGCTGGTGATTGAAGAAACCTAGTAGGATAATACGTAAAGACCAGGATTCTAGTTACCCCTGTAACACAAGCTAGTGATAACAACGAAAGTTTCTCGTCCACCTTTCTAACAATGTAGGCTCATTATACAAGGTTAGATAACAACATTTATAATTAACTCCAACTCCATAAGATTTATTTATATCTGGCAATGACTACCAACAATCACTACTACATGTCCAAACACTCCTCTTCCATCTTTCCCTATCTTATACTTATGCTGGATTCTTCTCGATTGCTTAAATAATGTGGCTATATGTGTAAAGCTTCTGGTGAAGAGCAGCTGTCTCCTTCCCTATTTGCCACAGATGCTACAGGCTTGGATAACCTGTAGTCTATCGCAATCCTAGAAGAGTAGAGAAGATCAAATACTAGGTAGTCGGATGAAAGGCTAATCTTTACTGGATGTTCTAACTAGAGTAGTGATTACTTAACTAATTGAACAAGCTATTCAGGTAAAATGTAAAATGGAACACATTCAGCTTGCTATATATCAAGCCACATTTGGAAAGCAAGCTTGCCAATCCTAGTCATGACTTGAAGGCCAACCTGTATATAGTGGCTGTAGCGCCTTCATGTGATTAGGTTTCAAATTCTTCTAGAAAGCTAGACACTATTCAAGGTATAATATAGATTTTGAATTTCTTTTTCTTATATTCTTGAGTAGTGCTAAGGAGCTTAGGCAGAAGAATCTTTATTGAGCCAGACATTTAACTCTTCCTGAAAAAGAAAGATATATATTGTATTATTGAGTTATAAATCTTGTAATTCGCAAGTCTAAAATTATAAATAAAAATAATGTATAAGGACTGCCT